GGCCTGCGGGGATTCGGTGTTTTGAGGTGTCGGTGAATTTATTCAAATGTTGTTTTGAAGGGACCAATATTTGATGTTAAATTCAAAAACACTTGACTGAGTAAAGACTATGTTTGCATGATCCCAGGAATTCAAAATGTCTTTTAATCCGTTGTCCGTAATTCTCAAAGATAATTTACTTGTTCAAATATGATTAGAAATAGAACTTGGATAGTTTCTTATTTTGCTGAGGAGTACAAGCCGAAATGCAAGTGTATCCGGTATAAGCAAGATGGACATATGAAGATGAACTGTCCTATTCTTAAGACAAGAAAGGTAAATCTTAATTCACTAGAAAGTCGAAACATTTTTAATGGTGTTATCTATCAGTACCTGGTGAATAGATACGTAACCACTAATTATGTAAAAAGTTTCCAGGAAACCAATCGACATGTGATAGGTAGATTACCATCTAGAATGGGTTTTGCTACGAAAGTGGCGACTATTGCAGTGGGAGTTCTCTATAGAAATTTTGGTTTATGAGTAATTGTCTTTATGTGCCAAGTCTTAGAAAGAACTCACCTTCAGTTTCTAAATTCTATATGGATGTTACGTTTGCTGGTTTGAAAAGCAAAACGTTTTATCCATTTGGTACAAGGTAGGACAGTTTGTAAACTCAAATGAACCAAAAATATCTCAGTATGAGTTTTCTATAGAAATTTTGATTTATGAGTAATTGTCTTAACGTGCCAAGTTTAGAAAGAACTCGTGTTCAGTTTCTAAATTGGATATGGGTAAAAATGTGACGTTTTATCCATATGGTATGTGGGTAAACAAATTATAAACTCAAGGAGCAAAAATATCTCACAGGTGCAGTTGATGAAATAAATAGCACATGACTAGAATCAATAAAAAGAAAGGTCCTTCAATGAATGAACCATACATTATTTTTGGCATCTAGTATTTGGGAATTTTAGCAATAGTAGAATTCAAAGGTGAAGCAGAGGCAGTTCCAAGTGGGTGACCATACATCATCCAGAATGAGTCTGCAGGAGGAACTTATGAGCTGAAAGTTCCATAGGGTAAGGTCTTTTCTAGGCTTTGGAATATTGCAAATCTTAAAAAATATTATTGCTAGTTTGATTGTAACTCTTGAGTTGTTTTTGGAACACTTATGATTTGGTTACTGAATCAATGAAAACTTTGAGGTTGTTCATGAAACATCTGTGTTTTAGCTGGTGAATCAATGAAAATTTTGTAGTTGTTTATGCAATATGTGTGTTTTGGGTTGCTGAATGAACTAAGTATGGATGGCATGCTTATGAATTAAGAAGCATTTTTGAGCAAATTTTTCTTTTTGCTAAGTGTAAACAGCTCGGAAGAAAATGATAAAGTGTGACGGCTTAAGGCCGAGCTCTTGGAGCTCGGGTGCTGTTCAAAAGGTGTGACGGCTTAAGGCCGAGCTCTTGGAGCTCGGGTGCTGTTCAAAATAGTGTAACGGCTTAAGGCCGAGCTCTTGGAGCTCGGGTGCTGTTCAAAATGGTGTAACGGTTTAAGGCCGAGCTCTTGGAGCTCGGGTGCTGTTCAAAATAGTGTAACGGCTTAAGGCCGAGCTCTTGGAGCTCGGGTGCTGTTCAAAATAGTGTAACGGCTTAAGGCCGAGCTCTTGGAGCTCGGGTGCTGTTCAAAATGGTGTACCGGCTTAAGGCCGAGCTCTTGGAGCTCGGGTGCTGTTCAAAATAGTGTAACGGCTTAAGGCCGAGCTCTTGGAGCTCGGGTGCTGTTCAAAATGGTATAGCAGCTTAAGGCCGAGCTCATGGAGCTCGGGTGCTGTTCAAAATAGTGTAACGGCTTAAGACCGAGCTCTTGGACCTCGGGTGCTGTTCAAAATAGTGTAACGGCTTAAAACCGAGCTCTTGGAGCTCGGGTGCTGTTCAAAATGGTATAGCAGCTTAAGGCCGAGCTCATGGAGCTCGGGTGCTGTTCAAAATGGTGTGACGGCTTAAGGCCGAGCTCTTGGAGCTTGGTTATTGTTCAAAAGGTGTGACGGCTTAAGGCCGAGCTCAACGAGCTTGGGTGCCGTACAAAGACAGTGCTGGTGTGAGGTCTAGCGAACAGTAAAACCCAGCATATGAAGATGTTGTGACCGAGCTCATTACGGGTAATCTACCTAGCAGGGAGGCTCATTAGCTCGTCTAGCGACTGCTCGGCCTAGCAGGGAGGCTCATCAGCTCGTCCTAGAAGAGAAGCTAATGAGCTCGTCTTAACATTTGCTCGGCCTAGCAGGGAGGCTCATTAGCTCGTCTAAGCAGAGAAGCTAATGAGATTGTCTTAACATCTGTTCGGCCTAGCAAGGAGGCTCATGAGCACGTCCTAGAAGAGAAGCTAATGAGCTCGTCTTAACATTTGCTCGGCCTAGCAGGGAGGCTCATTAGCTCGTCTAAGCAGAGAAGCTAATGAGATCGTCTTAACATCTGTTCGGCCTAGCAAGGAGGCTCATGAGCACGTCCTAGCAGGGAAGCTCATGAGCTCGTCTCAGCAACTGCTCGGCCTAGCAGGGAGGCTCATCAGCTCGTCCTAGAAGAGAAGCTAATAAGCTCGTCTTAACATCTGCTCGGCCTATCAGGGAGGCTCATCAGCTCATCCTAGCAGGGAAGCTAATGAGCTCGTCTTAGCATCTGCTCAGCCTAGCAGGGAGGCTCATTAGCTCGTCCTAGCAGAGAGGCTCATCAGCTCGTCCTAGCATCTGCTCGGCCTAGCAGGGAGGCTCATTAGCTCGTCCTAGATGATATAGCCCGGTCAAAGAGTTGAAGTAATCAGCTCGGATTTTGTGTTAAAGCTCGGAAGAGGAGTTGGTTCTCATAGCCCGGTCTTTCTGCTCGGAGGAAGAGTGGGGGTTAATCAGCTCGGCTTTTCTTTTAATGGCTCGGACACGGGTATAAGATAAAGAAACTTGGTTATTTTGATGTTATTATCAAAAAAGTCTATGGAAATTCGCAGAATAATAGCTTATTTGATAATGGGGGGACTAAATGATATGGCACGTAATAACAAATCGGTAAACCGGGAGGAATTGGCTCGGCTTAGCAAACCGGAGTTAGTTAATTTCAAAGTTTAATAGTAACAACAGCTCGGCCTTAAGGTGCTCGGCCTTAAGGTGCTCGGCCTTAATGTGCTCGGCCTTAATGTGTTCGGCCTTAAGGTGCTCTGCCTTAATGTGCTCGGCCTTAATGTGTTCGGCCTTAAGGTGCTCGGCCTTAATGTGCTCGGCCTTAATGTGCTCGGCCTTAATGTGTTCGGCCTTAAGGTGCTCGGCCTTAACGTGCTCGGCCTTAATGTGCTCGGCCTTAATGTGTTCAGCCTTAAGGTGCTCGGCCTTAATGTGCTCGGCCTTAATGTGCTCGACCTTAACGTGCTCAACCAAGGGTGGCAGTTAGAGTATAGGTGTAACGTGGTGAGCTGGTGATGGCTTGCTCGGGTTACCGAGCAAGTTAATTAGTCTAGGAGCCTGGAAGACGGTAGTCTAGAATTAGGCTAGGGGCCGAGCAGATGCAGTAGTTATGGAGAACAGTTTATGAGGGACACGTGTAGCGTCAGAATCAAAATGGAATAAACGATCAAACGGAGGAGGAACAAAGCGTGTTGGGAAAGCTAATAACTTCATATAAATAGGTAAACCATTGGAGGAGGTAAAGGCACACATTCTACAAACCCTAAATTCTATACACAGCTTCCTTCTATCTTTGATCTCTTACTGACTTGAGCGTCGGAGGTTTATCGCCGGGAGCACCTCCCGGCGTCTTTGCAGGTCTCTGAGCGGTCGGGGAGCAGAGGAAAGCCGGTTCAAGTGCAGGAGCACATCACATACCATGTTAGTTATAAGATAAACTAAGACTATGTATCAACAACTTTAAGTAAAACTTATTTTTTTTTTTAAATCTTTAACCTTTCATTCCATTTTAATTTTTTTTTTTAACATGAGAAATTCATTTGTAGATCAAATATTACTAAATATGAAATGTAAGTGAATCTTAATTGTTATTACTATATTTTATTTGCATTTTAAAAATTGTCAAATTATATAGAATCAAAGTTGACATAAAACATATTAATAACCCGCATCTATTTTTATAACTCGGTTCTTAGTTTCGGTTCGGGACGGGACAGGACGGTTCGGTTCGGTTCTCGGTACGGATATTTATGAAATATCCAGAACCGTACCAATTATTTTTTCGGTTAAGTTCGGTTCAGAGAAAGTCAAACGGTCAACAGAGATTTTTCGGTTCGGAGTGATTTCGGTTCGGAATTCTCCGAGTCCCATGCTCAGCCCTGAATCGTAAGTAAATATTGGTAAATGCAAATAGCTAGAAGAAACAAAATTAGCTTGCAAGATTTCAAAAAATTGCTTAATTGGAAAATTTCAGATGGAATAACTGTATAATCCACATTATTCTATGTGCATCGCATAATTATCGCTAACTATTCTACAATCCACATTTAACTATTTGAAATACGATTCTTACATTAAATTTCCATGCGGCATATCATAAAAGGGACGTTACATCATTGAGCATGCTCCTAGTTGATGAAGTCAATACTTCACATGCTCTTAAGTGATGATGCCAAATCATTACCCAAAGAAATTGATACAGCATGCTCTTAGTTAACGAAGTCAAATTAGTACACATGCCCTTAACTGATGATGCCAAATTAGAACCCAAAGAAATTGATGCAGCATGCTCTTAGTTAATGAAGTCAAATTAGTACACGTGCTCTTAACTGATGATGCAATAGAACCCAAAGAAAACAATTCTGCCAAGTTTTTTAGTTTCGTTGTGACATGAGCGTACAGGTTCGATACCCCAAAAATAGTTCCCTCGACACGTCCCACCAAGTGCAGTTTACCCGCCATATACTTGTAACTTGTTCTTATCTATAAAATCTAATGACAGGCATTTCAAGCAACAAAGGCATAATCAGAAGCTTGTTCTTATCTATAAAGTCTAATGACAAAAACATTTCAAGCAACAAAGCTAGAGTGAGAAGGTTTCAATGTCTACAGCTAAGAGAGATTACACATATCAAAAGAGATGGCCAAGCCATCACTCTCAACATTCCAAAATCCCCAAACTACTTGCGAGAAAAAATTGTCAAACTTGCTTTCCTCAGACTTCTGACCTGGTTTCAAAGCAGGTATACAAGACAAAAAATATGCAATTCCAACACCAAACTAGTCAAGGGCAGTGAGCCTTTCACAATGCACACCATGTGTCATCCACCAAATTCCCACTTCTGAAAGCAAGAAACTTTTGACACATACACAACAGTCTACTAAGACAACTTGTAATACCAAGCACTAGACAAACAGTAGATATATACGAAAGCAAAATGTAAATCCAAGAGGCTACAAACACCTTAAAAACAACAATCTCAGGTACCAATTTCACAAGCACTGAAAAGGTGTTACCTTAGGGAAGTCACATTACCCAAATCAAAGAAAGAAATAACTACAGCATTTGATTTAAAATAGCAGAGTATTGAAAAGACTGCCTCTTCTCTTGCACGCGACCGTTTTTATGAACCGAGAAAACCCACAAGTCCAAGGACATAAGACAACTCAGCTCAAGAGTCATTCAGGGAAGACTCTGGTACATACGGGGAAGCCTTTGGTTTGTACCGAAGAAGATTATGTTGGGCAGCTAAAGCCTCATCTTTAGGGCATTCATAGGTGCAGTGCTTTGTAAAGCTGCGGCAAATAATACAGTACTTTCGGGCGAGCGCTGCTATCTTCCTGCCACATGCGTTACAAACCCATTTGTCGACATCAAAGGAAGAGTAACCCACACAACAAGGACAGGCTATCTCGAAGTATTCCCGGTTAAAGTCCGCCCCACGAGGGTAAGAAGAGCATACGTAAGGACACTGACTGAAGCCATGAGTATTGTAGCAAATACGACAAGGCTCAGGAGAGTCCGCATGGCACTCGCTGCTAGACTTCTTAAGGGGCGGTGGGCAGTTGGCAATAAGGTCAGCTGTAAAAGGATCTACTTTGTATTCAACGTCCAAATGAAAATACTCTGGGTCGGGCACTGTGAACATAGTCCATTGTCCACTAGGAGGCATCATCTCACCTGTTAACAGGTTCCCAGAATCACCTGGAACTGTAAACCCAAACCAGTCCGGAGAATAAGACTTAACATATTTTGGAGTGTACACCCTCTGGCAAGCAACAGGATCTGGCAATTTCATTTCAATAGTTAGAATAAATCCAAACTGTTAACAGGTTCACTTCATTAGCGCCTGTTTGGCAATTTCATTTCAATAGTTAGAATAAATCCTATGAAACTAGACACAAGTAGACATGAGGTTATCCAAAATAATTGTTCAAGATTAATTCAAGTACTTGGGTGTTTAACCATCAACGATGGTACAATTGGTATAACATCCCACAAGGAAGGGTTTGATTTGTAACAAAGCCAATTACACAGTTAGCTTCAATAACATCCAGAATAATTAAACTGGAGCAATTTATTTAGGTTACCTCCATTACACAGGAAACCATCAACCAAAGGAGAATGTGTAAAAACAGAAAATACCAAAGAAATGAGATGTATTCAACTCGATGGAGATCAAGGAAGAGAATTAAAAAGGGAAATTGCATACCTGCAGCACCAGGGGCTCCTCTGGCTACTAGAGAGCTGTATGATTTCCATAAACCTGACAAAAGTTCTAGATTAGGAACAATCAAATCGTCTCGTTTTATACAATTGGAAGATGATTTCTTCTTACCAGGAGAAACGGAGTCGACATTATTAAAGAAGTGTTCTTCTAGGGTTTTCAAATCTCTCCCCACCATGGCTTTGGATGTAGACATGTTTTCCACGGAGTTGGAACTATATGATTTCTTTGTACCTGAACCAAAAAAAGAAGAAACAAAAACAAAAAATAAACAAAACTCCCTGATTAGCAATAAATAAAACACCAACGCAAAGAACTAAACTAAAACAATCTCGTTTCAAATCACACGAGATGTTTTTTTTTATTTTTTTTAACACTGTAGAAGGTTGTAATGTCCCATTTATTTGTGATTTATTTGAAATAATTATTATTATTATTATTATTATTATTATTATTATTATTATTATTATTATTATTTTGAGTGCCTAATATTAATTGCCTATATGTGATTAAATGATAAATTGTCTAAATGTCTAAATAATTTTGTGAATTATTATTAAATGCGTTTTAATATATATGTAAAATATATATTGTTCGGTTTATATTTTTTTATCGCGCGTTGAATCCGTTATCGAGCCTGAAAATTTTCGTTGGAACCAATAATTGGGCTTGAGAATATCCGTTTGAATTGTAATTAGGCCCGTGAGCCGATTTAAATTTGCGAACCGGATTTGAGCCCGAAAATACCCGAGTGAACCGAAATCGAGCTCGTGAGCCAATTTAATGTCGCGAATTGGCCCAATGGCCCAAAATCGGTTCGGCCCTTTTTCAAAAACCGGCCCAACAATTTCTTTCCTTCCTTTTGTTTTTCACGTGCGCGTGAGGGTGTGTGAGTATGTGTTTTTCTTGCCTTTTAACCTAATTATACATACATATATATATATTTCCCCTCAACTCTCTTGCCACAGCAAACCAACGCAGCTTCTCCCTCAGCTCTCGCTCGATCTCCCTCTCGTTTTTCCTCTGGTGATCTGATAACCCCTCTCTCTCTCCCGTTTTCTGTTTTCCCGTCGACGTCAATCCTTCCCCCTCATTTTCCGACTGCGACCCATCATTCCCTCCTCTGCAAATCGAACCTCCGGCGACCCTTGAGCGCGTTTTTCCGGCAGTTCGATCCAGCCCGCGAGCCCCGACAGCGAGACCAACTCTGCCACGCCATGAACCCCTGTGCGCGAATTCCAGCGAGTCTTCTTCCTCTCCGAGCAAGCAGTCGCCATCGCCATTGTTCTACTCGTTTTCCGGCGACCGCACCTGCAAATCCGGCAAGTACCCTCTACTCGCAGAAGAACCCGCAGTCGCCATCTCGCCGTCTTCCACACGCAGCGCCACGATGAGAACTTCCCCCGCCGTGACCAACCTCTGCGAGCAGGCCTTTCCGGCGACCCACCACCGTGCGCAAGCCCCGTCTCCGCCGTACTGGGGCCGCTACTCCACCGCGAGCCTCAGCCGAGCCCCGTCGAGGAAGGCCGCGACCCTGCTGCTCCTCCGTGAGTCTTCCGGCGAGACGAGTTTACCGTTGAGCCGTTCGTGTTCGTGACGTTTTCGAGTTATTCCCGAGAACGGTACCTTGTCGTTTTTCCGTCTCGTTTTATTCGTATGCGATTATTTTGTTGGGTGTTCATTTTCGTGAAGGACTCGTGATATATATGTGTGAATTTATTGATGTGTATATGTGTGATTATATGTATTGTTGTGATTTTATGTGTTCGTATGTTCGGGATCTCTTCGATTCTCTCAAAAGATCGAACGAGACCTCGAAAGTCGTGTAAGTCGGTGGATATGGAACAATGTCGAGTCCTTGGTCTTATGAAAAGGCCTCGGACGAGAAATTTTATGTTGTGATTTAATTGCCAAGTTGTCGAGCTTGTAAATCGCTGTTTCGGAGTTCGAATTTTTAAAAATAGCTCGCTGCTCGAAACGATGTGAAATTTTGAGGGATGTGTTATCTGTTCATTTCCTCCCTTGTGTAAAATTTTCGTAATTTTTGGAGGCCTTTAGCTATTTTTAATAATTAAATTGTAATCTGCCCAGAATATTATTAAATGCATAAAAAATTCATTCCTGACTGAAATGAGCTGAAATTCGAATATGTCATGCCTCTGTGACTTATATGTGTTGTGTTAAATTTTTAGAATTTTTGGAGTTGATTTGTTGTGGTTAATATTCTATTTATTGAATCTGCAGAAACGTTGTTTGAATTTTTATAAATCGGTTACTGCATGGAAAATTCTGAAATTTTACTGAGAGGCCTATTTTGTGTGTTTAATCATGTTTGTAAAATATGGGAATTTTTGGAGTCTGTTTTGATTCAGTTTGGGTTTAAATTCGATAAACTTCTGTTGCTCGTTTGAATTTTTAAAAATAGCAACAGTTATCATTTAAGGCTGAGATTTTTATACATGAACTTTAGCATACTGTATGTTGCTGTGTAAAATTTTCAAGTTCAGATTCATTCATTAAGTCTGAGTATGAATTAATGTGCCCATTTTGCTGATATACTGTTCGAATTTTATAAAATAGGGTATTTCGAGTTTAGAGTTGAAACTTTGTGGTTTTACATGTTTCTCTGAGATGAAATTTTGTGTAAATTTTCAGAGCTTAATTCGTAGGGTAGCTTGACCTTCTATTTTCATGCGATTAAATGATTTCTATTTTCGAGCATAATTTTTATATGAAATTTGGAAACCGACTTGCTTTTCGTTTTTATGTGAGTTTGACTTGGTCAATCCTTAGATGGATTTGTGTGAACTCCCTTAAGTGGTTTGGTCGAGTTTAGTGCCGAGTCTTAGTGTTCCACATCCACAGGACTTCACGAACTACTTAGTCGAAACGTGTTCGACTAGGTCTGTCTTGTGATTTCCGATTTAAGTCGAGATAGATTCTGATTGTAGGATCTTGACGTCATGTAGGTGTCTAGAGGTGTGGACCTTGCCTTATTTCGAGATTTGTGACTGTGAACCATGCTGCTATCAGGTGGGTACATTTATGATGTATTCCATATTTATCGCACTCCTTATTTCGTGTAATGTTTCTTTTAAAAATTTTTGTATGCATGAGAACTCTAGTCTAAGTGTCCCGAACGCTAGTGCCTTTGATGAATGCGAAAGCAGTAGGAGGTCGTCTGCCCGTTGTATCCGGGAGGGACGCCCCATGCCGTTGTATCCGGAAGGGGAAAAACATCACTGCTGTCTCCTGGAAAGGATCCTACGAACCGTTGTACCCGGGGGTGGGAAGGTTTCCAGTTACAGCCATGCCGTTGTATCCGGAAGGTTGTTGTATGTACATAGGAGGTTTGCGACTTATGTTTATGGGTTTTGTTTTATTGTTAGCTCGAGTATGTGTAGTTTCCTTGCATTGTTGGATGTGTGTTGTTTGTTGATGTTAGTAAGTAGCGCCCGTTTCTCGATAAAGGTTTTAACTTTGATTATAAAAAAAAAAACTCTGATTTTTATTAATTAATTCGATAAACTCTTTAAAATAAAACGGGGCGTTACAATTATATACTAGGTTCTGATGGAGGCCGCCTGAGTTGCCTTAGAAATATCCATCAGAGTGTGCACACGTATCCGATTAATTATCGGCAACAGAAGAGAAAAGTTTAAGTTACCGATCAGATATCGGTTTATGATTATCCATATTCGTTACTCACCCCCATGAGTTTTAGTTTCAGGTAACAGGTCGAAGAGGAGGTGTGAGTGGAGCAGTGTTGGTGTGGATCGTGGACTCAGATGAAGACAAGCTTTGATAAGGACATTTATAACGGTCTGTATAATTAACCACGTTTTCAAGTACTTCCGCTATGCACATTAAGTATTGAACTTGCATTTTAATGAATTTTAGATACAAGTTTTGACCATTATGAGAAATATGATTATGGTATTTTAAATGCAAGTTTAAAGGAAATCTGTTTTAATTATGTTTAAAGAAGTATTAGACAAAAGTTTAAAGATTAACGGATTTTCAAGAAGAGGAGTTTGAGTAGCATCCCGAGTTAGTCGCAAAGATTTCGGAAGAGTTAAAGTATTTTCGAAGTAAAAGTTGCGAAAAATTTACTCTGATAAGCGGGGTGTTACAGGTGGTATCAGAGCTAGAGTTTTAAATGCTCTGTATACTGAAAGTTTAAGTTCTGAAAGAGAAAGTTTTCAGAAAAGACAAAGTTTTTACAGGAAGTTTCAAGAAAACCCGACCACACCACGCTCACACCTCGTCAACTACCAGGTAAGTGCTGTTAAAAGTTTTATACAAGTTTTTCAATATATTCAAATTTACTAAGTCTATGCTC